ACTATGGCCCCTTACCAGTTTTTTTTTTTTTTTACAAGTATTCAGATTTCAATACACATTTCTAAAGATTTAAAGCTAGCATTTACATATGAGGGAATGTACGGCATTTGTCTCTGTGGATCTCCGCTAACTCGCTCAGAATGAGTATTTCCAACTCCATTGATTTGTCTGAGAGTCTTGTGATATTATTTTCCTCCCTTATAGCTGAACAGCATTCCATTCTGTATATGCGGCACATTTTCATTATCTACTCACTGGTTGATGGAAATCTGGGCTGTTTCCATTTCCTGGCTATTGTGAATACAGCAGCAATGGACATGGATGGGCAAGTATCTTTGTAGTAGGATACTGGCATCTTTGAGGATACGCCTAGGAGTTGTATAGCTAGATCATATGGTAGATCAGCTTTTAGCATTCTGAGGAACAGCTACACTGATTTCCATAGTGGCTGCATTAGTTTGTGTTTCACCAGTTTGCACTCTCTTTTTTCCTCATCTGTGTCAGAATTTGTTATAATTTGGGTTTTTAATCTTAGCCATTCTAACTTAGGTGAGATGAAATCTCAAAGTAGCTTTAATTTGCATTTCCCTTATGTTGAACAACTTAAGAAATATTTCTTAGCCTCTTTGTATTTTTCTTTTGGGAACTCTGCTTCGTTCCTTGCTTAAAATTTTTTTCTTGGTGTATACTTTTTAAATTTTATAAATAACAACCTTCTGTTAGAGGTGGAGCTGGTAAAAATCTTTCCCACTCTGTGGCCGCCTCTTCACTTTAACGGTGCCCTTTGCTGTGCAGCTTTTAGTGTCATGAGGCCCCGTTTGTCAGTTGTTGGTTTTAATGCCTGCATTAGTGCAGTCCTGTTCAGAAAGTCCTTTCCTGTGCCTGTCAGTTAAGGATAACTACCAGGTTTTCTCTATCAGATTCAGGGTATCAGGTCTTAGGCTGCAGCCCTTGACCCATCTGGAGTTGAATATTGTACAGGGCCAGAGATAAGGATCTCCTTTCATTCCTGGACTTGTGGATATTCAGTTTGATCAGCACCATTTGATGAAGATGCACTCTTCCCCCTAATGGGTATTTTTGGCCTCTTTCTCTAAAATCAGGTTCCCCTTACTTTTTGAGACAAGGTCTCTCACTGAACCTGGAGCTCTGGATGGCCAGAGGACATTCCACATGGGATGCATCTGTTTCCTCTCCCTCCCCATGTCACCAAGCCTGGCTTTTCTGTGAGTGCTGGGATCTGCACTCTGACCTTCATGCTTGCGTAGCACGCCCTTTACCTACTGATCCATCTTCCAGCCTCTCTCTAGTCACGCTTGTGATGGCTGCTTTAAGGTGCTTGTAGTTATTCCAGCACCTGTCCTCTTGAGGTCAGGATGTGTTGGTTGTCTTGTTCGCTGAACATTGACTGCCCCTCTCTTAGTTTTTGGTATTATAAATAATGTCCTGCTGAATCTAGACACCTAGGTTATACTATATGAAGCTCTATCTTATTTGCGGACGTGTATTAGGCTGATTTTCTGTGACATCGTACTGGCAAGGGGAAGAGAATTGTATTGATATTGTCAAGTGAGGAAAGAGATCCCTTTGTGGCTTCTCTGATACCACCTCGTATTAAGGAACAGGTATCGGTGGTTGACTTTTGCTGGAGTGGGTGGACCAGAACATAGATTTTCAGACAGAGCCTTTGGCCTGGAGTAGCATACTTACCATCCAATGGTTTTCTCTTAAGAACTGCCGTCTTCTGGATTTTTCGTTGGCTTTTCTTTTTGGTTTGTGCCCAGTGACACTCTGAGTTCCTTCTTCCCCAGATCCATGTTTGGCAAACAGAAACCCCAGAGGACTCATTCCCATGGCATGTCTTGGTCTTAAAGCTCTGCCTGTTTTCTTCCAACTTTCAGTCTCATGTTAGATGTGCAGTAGCCATGACTTTTATTGGAGTCCCACGAGAGAAACAAGGAGAAGTTTTTCTCCATTTCCCCAGAAACAAAGCCCTCCTCATCATATAAAAGAACCTGATTTGGGGATGAGATGCAGCTGACAAAGTGCTTCACAAGCATGAAGATCTGTTCGGATCCCCAGCACCCATGAAAGAGAGCTGGGTGTGGTCCAGTGCCTTTGTAACCCTGGCACTGGGGAGTTACTGGGGAGTAAGCAAGGAGATCTCTAAACTCATTGATTAGCTAATCTTGTCATTGGTGAATGCTGTGTTCAGTGAGAGGCTGCCTCAAAAGGTAAGTGGAGAATGATCACAGAAAACATTTTATTGGCTTCTGGCCTCTACACACATGCACACACATGCAGTAGGGTGCACATGTAAAACGCACATATGCACACACAAAATAAATAGCGATAATAACATGCAATGTAGGTCACAGTCAAGGTACATGCTTTAAGGTTTTAATGTAATTTTCATGGGCTAGTGTAATACTTTGTATTATCAACATTTGTAATAGTGTCCGTCCATTTGATTTCCATCTTTGATCTTATTTCATCTGTTAGATTTTATTGCTGTTATAACCTGTTTCTGATGTTAGTTGTGTTGGGGCTACAGGGTTGGATTTGAGATTGGAAATTAATTTCAGATATTATCTTTGTTATGTGAATGGCTACTTTGTCCTTGGAGTTTTTTTGTTAGTCAGAATTATAGCTTCTTGTTCACATCTTGCTTCATGGGAGGCTGGAAAACCCTGGCAGCCAAGAATCCTTTTTTGTCAATGATGTTAACAGTAGAGTAAGGGTAATGGGACCATCAACTGACCACTGATGGCCATGGCTACTTCTTGCAGTGACCATGCCATGGCCTAGCTTTCCATGTGAAGGGTGTCAGAGCCTCATGCTAGAGGCTGTGTGCTGGGTCCAGCAGCTTTTCTCTCTTCCCTCTCGGTTGGTGCCTGTGGCAGCCACAGTCCACTTGGTTACCGGAAGGGCATTTTTTCCCTGTCTGTTTGATCCAGTCCTTTGACCTGCAACTTTGTTTCCCTGTGTTGATGGCAACTGCAGACAATGTAGCAGTGGTCTAAGGCCCTCTGGGCTTACAGGGAGTGTTGCAGGTCTTTCAGGAGGGGTGCGGGGAGAATGTTAATTTGAAAGAAGGTGTGAATGTGGTGAGGCAGCCTGCCCTCCATTTCCTCCATGCCTCTGGGCTTGCCTGGAAGAGCCCAGAATCTTCCCTTTCCTTTCCAGTAGCCTTTCCCCGTGGCCTTCTGAGTGTGCAGGGATATTTGTGTTCCCACTTGGCCTGTGCTTTCGAATCTCAACGCTGTAACATTCTCTGGAAGCCCCCAGGTTGGCACATAGCAATGAATACTGCCCCCCTCCGCAGAGGTGGCTCTCAGTCCAGCACATCTGGTGGCTGGCAATTGCCCATCTCTGAGGGCCTCATCTTTGTCTGCATCCCTAGAGACCTGTAGTGTAGGAAGGGAACTGATGACTCCTCATCATGTTCTGCCTTCCATTTCTTATGCAAAATGCCATTCTGTCCCCAAGAGTGGCCTGGACAATGTTCTTTTTCTTTGTGACCCAACCTGTAACAGGTGGTCCTGCCTTTCCCAACCTCACTGTCTGTGTCTGGGTCCATCCAGCAAGGAGATGCACGGGAACTGGGGTGGGGCTGGTGTGGGTAGGTCCTCCGTGCAGCACTACACTGTGCCTATACACATGGCTCTGGGGCAGGAGCCTGGTGTACAGATTCATCCCTTGTCATCCTCCAGTGCCGCACCTATGTTTGTGTTAGCAGCTTTCCCAGGTTTTCCCAGCATACCCATTGTGTTCTCCATTCACAGGATGAGCTGTGTACATCCACTGCTGTCTGTGGTGTGGAACTGAAGGGTGGGGCCCTTACATCACTTCCTGGAAACATGAGGCTCTCAGGGACTGTGGCCACCCTCTTAGGGAGGATGGCCAGGACACTGGACGAAATGGGACAGCTCAGGGGTCTGGGGAAGAGCCTGCAGCACATCAGAGCAGGAATTGAGCCACCTCCTTAACCTTGTCTTCCACTATCAGTAGCTTGTTCTTTCCCCTTCTTGTGATTTGGTTTTTTGAGACCGGGTTTCTCTTTGGCTTTTTGGAACTTGTCCTGGAACTAGCTTTTGTAGACCAGGCTGGTCTCGAACTCACAGAGATCGGCCTACCTCTGCCTCCCGAGTGCTGGGATTAAAGGCATGTGCCACCACCGTCTGGCTTCATTCCAAGACCATTTGTTTCAGTCTTCCTTTTCAAGGGAACATGAGATAGGGCATGAGAGGCCTGAGGGAAAATGGTGGCCCTTAAACGTCAGATCCAGCGCAGAGCAACAGGCAGGCAGATCAGAACAGGCCAGAGCTGAGATCAGAGAAGGCCACATCTGGAAGATGAGAGACAGAGTCACAACTCATAGACAGGAAACTGAAGCCTGGGAGGGTGCAAGGATGGGTTCGTCAGGGTGCTTCATCCCTTCGGGAAAAAAAGCCATACACTTACTGCTTCCTCTTGGGGAGAGAAAGAAAATGCTTACCTTACACAGATCAGAGGGGTCACAAGAAGACAATGACCAAGAGAAGGGGTCAGCTTGTCCCTGAGGCTGTATCTTACTGTAACAGGGAGTCAGATTTAATATAGACCAATCCTGAGGACTATGTCTGGATCCCATTGGAACAGTACAGGGAAGGGAGAGGGGCCTAGTGGGGCCTTAGTTGGAGACCGTGGAATTTACTAGGCGGAAGTACAGGGTGCACAATGGGCCAGAATAGTAGCATGCAAGGGCTGTAAGCATGTCTATGAGGTCAGACCCAACTATGCTGGGTTAGGCTTTTGGAGTCAATTGCTTGCTCAGTGGTAGTCCACATTTGATTATCTGTCCATGGGACTCTGGGGGGCTGGGCAGTGCCTGCAGGCCTGGGCGTGTGCTGGCTTGCCTGAGCAGGGTCTGTAGAACCCCAACTGAAGACAGCTTGTCTCCTAACCATCAGGAGTCGGGAATTTCTTGCTGTCTAACAAATGATGTTACTCTTGTTCAGGAGCGGTTGCTCATGAGCCTCTTGCCCCGGAATGTCGCCATGGAGATGAAGGAAGATTTCCTGAAGCCCCCTGAGAGGATTTTCCACAAGATTTACATCCAGAGGCATGATAACGTGAGGTAGGGATGGCACCAAGCCAGCTCAACAGTGTACTGGGCGGGGTGGGGGTAGGTGGGGGTGGGTGGGGGTGGGGGTTTGCAGGGCAGAGGTGGTGAGGTGTATTGTGGGGGGGCGTAGAGGAGCTGGGAAGGGGAGTGAGAGATGGGGAGGGGGACATGGGAACTAGAATATCTCTAGTTTAGAGGGAGATATGGTCAAGAAGCTCAAGTGGGTGGGTGCCCAGCAAGGAAGCTGGCCCCATGTGGAGGAGGCTGTGGCTTCGTAGGTGGCACAGGCCAGTTCTCTTTCACATCATTTTCCATAAGCACTTGCTCTTTCTACATGGATAAGGAGACAGAACTTTGTTCCAAAGACTGGGCTTTTGAGTCTGTGTTTGAGTATCAGCCCTTGGGGCTCTGGGGGCTGGGCAGTGGGTTTTTGTAGTGGACTGGAGATTCTCCCTGCTCTAATAATGGCAGAGTGTTGTTGCTTGAGATGGGCTCTTCTACCTCAGTTTCTCCATCTCATCATTCCGAGGAGGTTGCAGCTGTTGTTTCTATTTTATAGGCAAGGAACCCGAGCCTTCATGTGAACCAATGTGTGGATATGTTGGCTGAAGTTTGCTTGCCTGCTTAGAAAGATTTTGTTGAAACTGTTTGTCCTAATGTATTGTGTAGTTTTTTAAAAATACTTTTTATTATAGTTTAATGCACTTAGAATGGTTGAGTTGTCACCCATTTGGGATTGCAACCATGTAAGTGGCACTCAGGAGATGGGGTAGACACAAACACCTTTCTCTTGTTTTTTTTTTTTTTTTTTTTTTTTTGCTGGCTCTTCAGGGTTTGGGTGTCAGGACTCCTGGCCTTTGGCCCCTGAAGACTCGATGAAAGCATGTGAAAGGCTCTCTCGTGTGGTAGCACAGGCTGGCTCATCCCAAATTAGTTAAGGCCTGTGAACTGTCAAGGTACATGCCTGTAGGCAGAGCCCACATGGCTAATCAGCTCACAGATCTTGCTCTGTGCAGCTCTGTGAATTCTTTCACTCCCTGCTGTCATGCGGTTTGATGGAAAACCGTGCTGTCCTCCCTCCACAGGGGACGATGCTGAAGTGGTGTGGGGTGAGGGCCCAGCTGTTTGGAAAGTAGCCACAGAGCCAGCATTTGAACTTAGATGGCTCCAGAATTAGGGCTCAGAAGCTCCTTGCTGAGTTCCTGGTTGTTTGCTCTCCTCTCACTCCCGTGAGCAGCTGGCCTTGCTGCCTGCATTGTGGAAATCAGGAAATTGAGATTCAGCCATGGGAAACAAATGTACAGGATGCCCTGGGCGGTGGGTGGAGGGCTGGACGCAGGATTAGCTGACGCTCGCATTTGCTTTCCTTCCCTTATTGCACCTGCTGCTCCGTGTTAGTTGGAAAGGACATAATTCAGTTCCCCAGCTGCTTGCTGAGGAGGCGCCCCGGCCACCAGAATGTTTCAACGGGAACCTGGAGGGCATACTGTAGGAGGGAGGGTGTCACAGTTGAGGGCCTTCTGGTAACTTGAGTGAGCAGGCATCATTGGTCTTCTGCTTGCTCAACAGAGCAAAAAGATAAACAAATGGACAAACTAGCTCTGCTGCTTCCCCCTTCGTCTTAGTTAGAGTTCTATCACTGTGACAAATACTGTGCCCAAAAGCTAGTTGTGGAGGAAAGGGTTTATTTGGCTTACACCTCCACATTGTAATCCATCGTTGGAGGAAGTCAGGGCAGGGACCTGATGCAGAGGCTGTGGAGGGGTGCTGCTTACCTGCCTGCTCCCCATGGCTTGCTCAGCCTGCTTTCTTAGAGAACCCAGAACCATCAGCCCAGGGGTGGCTTCACCCATAAAGGGCTGGGTCCTCTCCCATCAATCACTAATTAAGAAAATACCCTACATAGGTAAGCCTATAGCCCTATCTTATGGGGACACTTTCCTAGTTGAGGTTCCCTCTTCTCAGATGACACAAAAGTTGACATGAAACTATTGGACACACCCGGGGAGGGAGAGAATTGATCAGGATTACCAGTTTCCCAACAGCCTGGGGCTGCCTAGACAACCAGCATCTGTAGTTCAGTCCCCAATTTCTGAAAGGTCTGACTAAGACTTGGTTTCCCGGGAAAATAGAGGTGGGGCTTGCCCTAGAAAATACCACAGCTGTCACATATATGCCCTGCTCAGGACAGAGTGAATAGATGGAACCCATAGCTGCCTACTGGGGACACAAAGAGTTGATAAAGGGCCTTAGCGTCTTGGCTGGGATAAGTGATATGGTCACTTGCCTATGTGAGGCTGGCCTCTAAAGGTTGGGGATGAAGAACCTGGCAAAGGAGGAAGCTAGGCCTGCAGACAGAGACCTGAGAAAATGCACTTACATGGATTACTTTATGAGAGAATAAAAGTAACTCTCACGAAGATTGAAGAGAGTTATGCACATGGAAAATGAGAATTTCCACAAGGAAATAAAAGCATGTAGGACTACCAGATCAGAAAGCTTAAGACTGTAGCGACCAAATATAAAATTCCCTAGAGGAGAATAGAAGCTCAAGTAAAGAAAATATCAGTGAACTGGAAGACAGATCCCTGGAAGGTCCCAGGCAGAGGGTCAAAAAAGAGAGAAAAGCATGGAAAGAAATGGAGAAAGCTTAAGGGTTATGAGAAGTCAGTGCTGGGCCAGAACACACATTATAGGACTTGCTGAAGAGTGGGAAAGGCGGCCCTCCCTTCCTCCCTCCCTCCCTCCCTCCCTTTCTTCCTTCCTTCCTTTCTTCTTCTTTTTTTCCAAGACAAGGTTTCTCTGTGAGGCCCTGGATGTCCTGGAACTCACTCTATAGACCAGGCTGGCCTTGAACTTACAGAGATCCTCCTGCCTCTGCCTCCTGAGTGCACCACCATCTCCCAGACCATAAATGAGCTTTTCATATAAACATGTGGAGACAGAAATGGTCACCCAGAGATAGGAAGCATATATGACACCAAATAAAATGAACTTACAGAAACTGACATGATCTAATTCTGTCAAGGCAGAGACAAAGTGGGAATTTTGAAACCAGTAGAAGGTGCTTTCCTGTAAACCACAGAATCCCCATTAGGCTTTTAGCAGGTCACCGGGCAGAAACCATGCAGGCTAGAGAGCGTATGGGCCATGTTCCAAATGTTTAAAGCAAATGACAAAAAGTCCATAGAGCAAAGGTGCTATGCCTGGTACATTTCTTCTTCAGAAATAAAGGCAAGTCAGAGACCCTGCCAATAGTTGAAAGTTGGAGTTTGTGGCCACCTGATCTGCATTATGAAAAAGTGCTAAAAGGGATTCTCAGGGAGAAATGGACACAGTGGCATGAGAAACTGATTCTTGGTAAAGGTTAACAAATTAATATAGATATGTCATATATGTGAATATAAAGGCAAATAGTTTTCTAATTGTGGTTGCACCAAAATTATTAAAAGCCTGTCTGGAGAGATGCTCAGTGGGTGGAGGTGCTTACTGTCAAGCTTGATGGCCTGGGTCTCATCCCCAGAACCCAGATGGTGGAAGGAGAGAACTAACTCCTGCATGCTGTCCACTGATCACCAAACATACACTGTAGCATGTATGTGCACCAACACACCACACACACACACACACACACACACACACACACACACACACACACGCTCACAAACCACACACACCGCACACACACACACCACACAAACACACACACCTATAAATACACCACACACACCCCCCACACACATACACACATACACACCACACCACACACACACTACATACACACACACCACACACACGCACACACACACCACACACACATGTACACCACACACCACACACACACACGTAAACATACACACATCATACACACCACACCACACACACACTACATACACACACACCACACCACACACACTACATACATACCACACCACACACACTACATACACCACATACACCACACCACAACACACTACATACACCACACACACACCACACACACGCACACACACACCATACACATACACCACACACACCACACACATACATAAACACACACACATACCATACACACCACACACCACACACACCACACACACACATACATACACATATACCACACACACCACACACATATGTAAACACACACACACATACACATACACCACACACACCACACATATACATAAACACATACATACCATACACACCACACCACACACTACATACACACACACCACGCCATACATACAAACACACATCACACACACGCAAACCACACACATACATACATACACACTACACACACACGCACACACATGCATATACACATCACACCACACACACACCACACATACTACATAAACATCTCACCACACACACACTACATACACACCACACCACACACACACACACCACCACACATACAAACACATCTCACCACACACACACTACATACTCACCACACACACACACACACACACACACACACACCACCACACATACAAACACATCTCACCACACACACACTACATACTCACCACACACACACACACACACACACACACACACACCACATACACACATGCAGGCCTATAGAAACATGCACACAACAAATGTAAAAGAGTTAAAAGTCAAAAATTTTTAAATAACTAATGGTAAAATAATTTAATATATAAGTACATGCAAATTGTGGTGAGTAAATTATGGAAGAGCTGTTAAAAATGTGCATTTTTTTCTATGTGACTGAACAACAATATGATAAGTAATTCAAGAAGTTAACCAAAAGAAAAAAGAGAAAAAAATCATAGCATTTCAATCCATAAAACCAACAAAAAGCAGCAGAACACAGAAGAGAATACAAAGAGGAAACACGTAACACAAAGGCAGTTGAGCCTTTGTCATCAATACTCTACATGTAAATGGGGTAAAATCCCCATCAATCAAAAGACAGAATGACTGTATGGGAACATCAGTCCAACAGATGCAAACCAAACCACACAGCCGAACCAAGCACCAAGCAGCAGACTGTATCTTGTGTAAAGGAAGCCTGCTTTAGATTTGAGGACACACAGAGGTGTAGAGATCGAGAACAGCATCCGTGTGAATGAGAGCCAGGGGACAGCAAGGGCAGCCTTGCCATCATGAGCCTAAGTACACTCATGTCAGAATGGTCAGAAGAGATGGCATTTTGTCATGGTTGGAGAGCCAGTTTACAATAACAGTCATGAACAAACACACAGCCAGTGCAAAAACATGGACATATGCACAGCGAGCATCCCTAGAACTGAAAGGTGAAATGCCCATGAAATCAGTAGTAATCCACTTTTTTTGATGGTGGGCAGACAGAGGACTGTGATAACACTGTAGATGTGATGCTCGTAGACAAGACAGACAGTACCTCTCAACAGTACTATATTCTCAAGTGCCCAAGGCTCTTTACCTACCTAGCACAGACCATGGAAGGTGATGGAAAAGTCCTAATGAATTTGAGAGTAGTAAATCATACTGTATTTTTCTGATCTAACCTCACTATGCTTTTTGTCTACACACTATACTGCAAAGCTGTCATGATTGAAACAGTATGGCATGAAAGGAGAAACTTAGACAGGATGGTATAGAATAAGGACCCCAGAATTGAACCTACATACATGTACCCAATGCGTCCTCACGAGTGACAAAAGTGGAATAAGGTAAGGGTTATCTTCAATAGATAGTGCTAGAAAAAGTGAAAATCCACACATGGAACAATGAAATTGGGCCCCTCCACCTGATACCATATACAAAGTCAATTAAAATTGATTATAACCTGACATGTACAAAATCCTAGAAAGGAAAATGGGCTAAGTTCTATGACATTGTTTTCAGCAGTGATTCATAGCAGCAAGAGCAGGAATAACTGGAATTAGATCCAGCTTGGTGATTCACCAACTCCTACAATCACCCAGGGGTGTGTGCTCAAGAGGAACAGCTAGGTATCAGGGCTCTGTGGCTTCTGCACCTGCCCCTGCTCTTCCTCCTCAGCCCCCGGAAGCTGAGAATGTGCCCCCCTTCAAAGCTCTGATGTCACAATCCGCAGGGTTTGACAGCCTGGGGATTCCCGGGAAGACCTCTCATTGGTCTTCTCCCGCAACCCTGACTCAACCCCACATGAGCCTCAGCCACAGCCACAGGCGCTCAGCACCTTTGCTGAACACTCCAGGGTGATCGGCAGTGGTGACAATGGAGGCTGGCAGCAAGGGGACTGGAAAGAATGAAAGGGAAAAGCAGGCACCGAAGAACATGGGGTGCTTGGCAAAGGTCTAGGCACTGCTGCGGAAATTTCAGAAGATGAGGCTTGTGCAGGATTAGTTCACAAATCGCCATACAGCGACAAAACCAGACAGCAGTAACCAGAGCCCTCAGATGGGGATGGGGGTGACTCTGATTTCTAGAGTTGCTAGTCTTGTGCTCTCGACAGAAATATGCTGCAAAAAGTATGTATGGATCATACATGGGCAAAGCAAGCAGTCAGCAGAAACTGTCCCTAAGGAAGCCTAGACATTGGGATTCTTAGGCAAACATTTTAAGTCAGCGATTTTAAATGTGTTCAAAGAACAAACTGTGTCTGTGTAATTAAAGGAAACCATGGCGATGTTTTCTCACCAAACAGAGAATACCAGCAGAGTAGACTTTTTAAAAATAGCCAAATCAAACAGAACTTCTAAATTTAAGACATACAAGTGAAGTGAAGCATTTCTGGGGGGCTTCAGTGGCTGACTTGAGCAGACAGATTAGACTGTGAGCTTAATGGCAGAGCCATGACTGTCTCCAGGCTGCAGAAGGGTGGGGAATAGAGAAATGGAAAGAATTTATAACTCTGTGAGGTACGCTAAGTTTATCCACACATGATGAGATGCCCTAGTCAAGAGGAGAAGACAGGAAGAAACAATGGCCAAAAATATTCCTTAAAACAACAAAAACCCACCATATTAAATTGTATATCCCAGAAGCTCCATGTGCTTCAAAGTGGGTAAACTCGGAGACCCCCCACCAAGGCATGTCCTAGTCAAAGTGATGACAGCCAGAGAAGTGGGCAGAATCTGAAAGCAGCAGGAGAGGAAGGGCCATCTAGAAGTGATCTTGAGTGAGGCAATGCTGGGTTTGTGGATAGGATGAGAGCCGAAGTCAGCAGGAAGTTACAGCAAAGGCTGAAGTAAGAAGGTAAGCATTCTGCGTCCTGTAGGACAAGGGAGCACCATACACACACACACACACACACACACACACACACACACACACACACACCGCCACTGGAGGCCAGGTCCTTCTGTCTCACACACACACACACACACACACACACACACACACACACACACACACCGCCACTGGAGGCCAGGTCCTTCTGTCTCACACACACACACACACACACACACACACTGCCACTGGAGGCCAGGTCCTTCTGTCTCACACACACACACACACACACACACACATACACACACACACACTGCCACTGGAGGCCAGGTCCTTCTGTCACACACACACACACACACACACACACACACACACACACACCGTCACTGGAGGCCAGGCCCTTCTGTGTCTTCTTAACTCCCTGCCTTCTTGTCAGGTAAAGCTAGTCCAGTCACAGCTGGCTGTACAGGCTCCTCACCCATCTCCTTGTCTGTTTTCACCACATTAAATGAAATGCTTTGGCATACTTTAAATGTCCCCTCCCCGGCCAGAAAAATCCTGAGGGCAGAGGTGTTTGCTGGAATCTCCTGTTGATGTCCATCCCAAGCACCTGTCCAGCATTGCTAGTCCTCAGTGAGCAACCTGCAGGTAAATAAATTAGCACTTCAAGTGCTAACCATTTTCCAGGCACAACAGGAGTGATGCTCCTTTGAACTCAGAGACTGTGACACCACAGCAAGACCTGCACGGGTTCAAGCCAGACAAAAATCCCAGCAGGGGGAGGGGGAATGGACACAAAGTCTAAAAGATGCTGGGGGAGGGAAAATCAGGTTTCTTCAGTGGAGCGTCCAGCCTCATGATTGCAAGTAGTTGGCCAGCATTTTAAAAACTTTTGATTTGGCTTTAGTTTTGGGTTTTTTTTTTTTATTATTATTTAGTTTTATTTTTTTGAGATAGGGTTTCTCTGTATTGCTTTGGAGCCTGTTCTGGAACTCGCTCTGTAGACCAGGCTGGCTTTGAACTCACAGAGATCTGTCTGCCTGCCTGCCTGCTTGCCTCTGCCTCCCGAGTGCTGGGATTAAAGGCGTGTGCCACCAATGCCTGGCTGGGTTTTTGTTTTGTTAAGAGAGAGAAGGGACATGCATGTTAGGTAGATGGGTTGGGGGAGGAGCTTGGAGAAGGGAAAGAATGTGATTAAAATATACTGTATGAAAGAATTTAAAAACGAAAATAAAGTAAAAATGATTGTGCATGATTGTTAACCTGGGAGTTCCCATTTCCACGTCACAGATGAGAAATGGGCACAAAGACGGACTGATAGTGTCCACTGTAGCTTGTGGGGTGGTGCCAGAGTCCAGCGTTAACCCCTGTTTCCCTCTGTGCTACCCAGCCTGGCTTATCTTTGGGGACACCCTCTGTTGTCCACAAGAAGGCTCATTTCTTTTTCTCTGACATTTGTAGCTCCCACACAGGGGTGCTGGGGGTGGGTGGGTGGAGCATCTAGCTTCTGGAAATTCTGAAATTAACGGGAAAGCTAGGAATGTTTGAGCAGCATATTTTTTAAATATTTATTTATTATTATATACACAGTGTTCTGCCCACATGTCTGTCTGCAGGCCAGAAGAGGGCAGCAGATCTCATTACAGATGGTTGTAAACCTCCATGTGGGTGCTGGGAATTGAATTCAGGACCTCCCCGGATGAGCGACCAGGGCTCTTACCCTCTGAGCCGTCTTCCCAGCCCTGAGCAGTATATTTTAAGACAGACCTTAAAGCTAACAAAATGTTTGAAGATAAACACTAAATGATTTTTCACCTCTCAGATATTTGCAGAGTATGTTTTAGTTTTGAAAGAGAACAGTAGGAGATAACCTTTTAGAGTCTTCTGTAGAAGACTGAGCAGACATCATGTTTTAGAGGCTGACCTAGTACTTGGAGCATGTCATGTGGCACTGTGGACCTTCTACACCAGTGTTCTCAACTTTTCTAATGCTGAGACCTTTTCATACAGCTCCTTGTGTGTGGTGACCCCCAACCATAGTTATTTTCTTTGTTACTTCATAACTGTAATTTTTCTTCTGTTATGAATCATAAGGTGAATATCTGTGTTTTCTGATGGTCTTAAGTGACTCCTATGAATCGGTCACTTGACCCCCCCCCCAAAAGGGGTTGAGACTCAGGTTAAAGCCACTACTCTATGTAGTGGTTTAGGGTTTTGGCTCTGGCATTCTGATGGACACATGCATCCAGGTAGCAGAAGGGGAAAGAGATGGTTGGTGGGGGGCATTCCTTTCTTGAAAGCTGGCCACTCTACCTCTGCGCCTGGCCCCAGTGTAGATGCCCATGTGAGCTCCCTGGGAAGGGAGAGGGTCTTCTGGGAAGCTAGCAGGAGCTCCTTATGTGGGGTGAGGGGGCAGCATGTGGGATGACAAGCTCAAGTGGCCCAGCAGCTAGCCAATCCCTCTGTGCCCAAGGGTGTGCCTTGTAGGTGTTCTAAGCCCAGGTCTTCTTGCCTGCGAGAAAGAGGAAGTGCCCCAGTCAGCTTTGAGGAGTACGCGAGGGTATAGGTGGGAAAGGCTGCGCAACTCCTGGGTCACGATTTCTTGAGTGACCGGGAAGTGACTGGATCCCCTTCTTCTTACAGCATCCTGTTTGCAGACATCGTGGGTTTCACAGGTCTGGCATCCCAGTGCACGGCTCAGGAGCTGGTGAAACTGCTCAATGAACTCTTTGGCAAGTTTGACGAGTTAGCCACGGTAAGTACAGTGTTCGCTTTCCTTCTGTTAAGTCAGCTTCTGGAGTGATGCTCTGTCAAGCCGGCCTCTGTGTCTGCAGGATAGGAGCCTCACTGGTCAAGGATTCTGCATCAGGCCCAAAGCCCCGGCACCTGCACCTCACACCTTGCAGGCTGGCCTGGCACTGTGCACCTAGGAAAACCACAGCCCTGTCCCTACCTGAAGCAGCCTTGACTGTGTCTCTTCTGGGGCTGGTCCTGCTCTGGGCTTGAAAATGCCTTCTACCCGTCCTCTAGCCCCTGCCGAAGCCCCTGCTCATGTCATTCCTGTCAAGCCACCTCCCATGAGGGAATTCTTTGTTGTTACTTTGCTGGGGAGATGAGGGGTGGCTTCCAGGGCCTGATCTAGCACTTCTCACCAGAGTCCCAAATACCTGGTCATCTTTATTTTACAAACTGGATTTTGTGGCCAGCATCTGAGAGAGCTATTTGCTGGAACACATGTTCATGTGGAGGACTCTGGGCCTGGGGTAGGACCTTGCTCATGTGCAGAACCCTGGGCCTAGAGGGGTGGGACCTCTATTTCCCTCACTTTGACCCCCTGGATCTCCCTCCCACCCAGTTGAGACTCACCTTCCATGCCCCAAGACTCTGGTTTCCTGTAGCCCTCCTGGTCTCATGCTAGCCACAGTCACCCTACACAATTCCTGGACTCGCTGCCTTTCCTGTATGCTCGTGGAGTAGTTCTGTCAAGCCCTATCTGGACAAGAAGATATGAGAGTCTCCTCCATCCTCATCCAAGGGAGACCGTATTTGTTGAGAAAAGTTTGTCATTGTGGAAGACTTTATGAGCAAAGGAAAGGTTTAAGCAATGCGTGTCTTCCTTGCCTGCAATGCTTCACTATCTCAGCAAACAGAGACCAAAGTGTGGCTCTGGCTCCTAATTGCTGGACCTCGATGATGTCACCATATAGGTTGCCAGCTGTCAGGCTGTGTTTGTTTCTGGGTGCTGCCTACACCCCGCACATTCCTGCAGCAGCTTTCTCTTGGGGGCATGCCTTCTCAAGAACAAGCCTTCCTCTCTCTTCTGTCTTTGGCTTTTCGTGTCCCACTATTCTAGCGGCTTGGAGGGCCCTTCAGAGAAAATACTTTTATTCCTTCTTATTGCCTGGAAGCATCCCATTGTCTGGCTGAATCAAAGCTTGTTGTCTCTTCACAGCCCAATGGGCATCTGGGTTATTTCTGGGCTAGGTTATTCCAAATAAAGCAGCCAAGAGCATTTGTGTATAAAACTTTGTGCCCATGAGTGATTTCTGTTTTCTTGTATAAATACGTAGGTGGTGGGCTGACCACAAAATATACTGAATTTGCATTTAACGTTTTAAGAAATGAATCCAGTGCTTTCCAGATTGCCTATTGCCATCTCATGTCCCCAACAACAGCATGTGGGAACTAGTTTCTCTGCATCTTTGCTGCTGTGGCTAGGCTTTTAAATGGGTGTGTGGTCTCCCTAGTAACAAACTGGGAGCATCTTTTAATTGCTTGTTGGCCGTCCGTGTGTTATCTTTGGAGAAGTATCCATTCAGGATTTTTGTTTTATTTTATTTTTGTTTTTAACCACCCTTCTTTTTAAATGGGGTTGATTTTTTTTTTTTTTTTACTGTGGAGTTTTGAGAATGTTTATTTTTATTTGTAATTGTTTAGTTAGGATTGCACCAAGTTGTCTGTCTGAGCGCTGAGATCACAGGTGTGTGCCACGTGCCCCACCTAAGAATTCCTAATAATCTACAAGCAAGCCCTTCTTCCGATACATGGCTTGCAATTCTTTTCCTTGTGAAGTTTGTTTCTTCTAGTAGTATTGCTTTAAGAGGAAAAAAAAAATTTAAGTTGTCTACCAGCTTGTTTCCTTTATGGATTGCCATGTTGTGTTGTGTCTGAACTGTTTTTGCCTTGTGCCTGCACTTGTGTTGGTGGCTTAAGTCCCATGTAGCTCTGGAAGGTTGAGGCCACAGGGATTTGCTTTTGCAGGTTTGGAGACTGCGGCCTGAATCAGTACTGCTTGGCAGAGCTGTACTCCCTCCAGGCACTCCAGAGATAATGTCTTTTGCCTTGAACACCTCTGCTGGTTCCCGCCAGATCACCCCAGTCTCCTTCTATCTCAAGTGGCTTCTTTCCTTCTCTCTCTCCTCCCCCCTTCCCTGCACTCTGCCCCCCACCTTACCCCACTACCATCCTGGAGGGTTTTCCTATTTCAAATCTTTAACTAAATCATACCTATGGAGATTCATCTTTTCATTGCCTAGATATGGTGAGATCACTGATATTTTATCATATATATAATACACACACACATATACGTATGCATGTATGTATGTATGTGTGTATATTGCTCATCACACACTGAACTCCTCTCTCTGGGCTTTGGTCTTTTGCTGAAGAAATGAGACTGGCAATGACTATTTCAAGGGGTTAGTGTAGAAAGAAGCTAAATAACAGAAGTCCTATAATATAAAGTCTAAAATATCTAGCCTGGTGCCTAGCCCAGGGTTGACATGCAATGAAGATAATAATAATAATTACTACCCCTGCCAGGGAATCATGCACAAACGAGGCCATCTGTTAGAACAGCGCAAATATCTGGAAGTTCAGTGTGAAACAAATTAGGGTATTCTCTCCCAAGATATTAGCTCATTTTTATTTAATCCCATCAAGTTCTTAATTCATAACCAGATAACGTTTACTGCAGAAAATGTCCATTTGCTAGCTGGGTCTGTTTTAGAGAACTGTCAATTAACTGCTATCTCGGTACCAGGATGATTAGATCAGGTTCCAACTCTGCAGAGGTTCACTCTTGCTGTTCCTCACAGCTGTGATTTCATCACACCCCCCAAATGAACAAGTGCTCCTTAAACCCTTGCTTCGTAAGGCTTGGACTGTGTTACAGACAACAAAGTATATGGATGTAGTTATTCTTTATTTTGTGAGGTCTGTGTCCAAACTTGAAAACAACCACCCTCGGAAGCCCAAGCAGATTCACCATCAAGTCCAGTATAGTGCGTATACAGTCTTTGTGTGACAGAGAAGGGCAACTAATCTTGATCCCTTGTTTTGTTTGCCAGCTGCCTAACAGAGCCTACACTGTCCAGTAGGCCTAAATAAATCTAATAAAACTCCCACAGCAAGGTCCTAAAGACTCCCTGATAGTGTTTACAGTACATTTTGGGTTAATGTTTATATATGAAGTATAGCTCAAAGCCTTTACTTTTGCCTGTAGGATCTCGACACTTGCTGAGAAGACTAGTCTTTCCTCCACTAAATTACCTTATCAAAGTTTTAGGGAACTCACTTTTCCATAAATAGCTGTGTGGAAATCTTCCTAGACTTGCTATTCTCTTCCATTTCCTTCGTGTCTGCCTTGACACCCAAACTATACCTTAGTCCTGTAGCTTCATGGCAGTCTGTGATCGAGTATTGTGATCCAATAAACTGTGATGACGTTTTTCAAGGTGACTTCGCCTACTTTTGGCCCTGTACTTTTTAATATAAATTTTTAGAATTCTCTCTAGTTTTACCACTGATATTGCTTGTTAAAACTGTGCTGTGAATCTGGTAAGAATTGGCACCCTCTGATTTGTGACTGTAGTTCATCTCTCCATTGATATACCTTGTTAAGTTTTCCTTCAGAAATATGTGACTTTCCAATGAGCAAATGTTTCGTGTCTTTTTCCTTTTTTTCTGTGTTTCATATATTTCTTCAGATATGTCCCTACGTAGATGCTACTTTTGATAGCATAATTCATGTTGACTTTTAAATTTTAATCACTAACATCAAATACAGATTAGGGTTCCCTATTGATTTATTGTTCTGAAAATGGAATAAACTGTACTTCCTAGTACAGTTTTGAAATTTCCACTGGATGTTGCACATAACTGATCCTGTTGGTACACGGATGCAGCTTGGCTCCATCCTCTTATCCTGGCTAAAGCCTTTGGTATAATGTCAGAGGGAAGTGCAAGCGCGGCATTCTTGTCTCGTTCTCTTTCTGGGGAGGCGTTCCACATTCTTTCATCATTAAGATCATATTAGCAGTGGGGTTTCTGTGGGGCTTTTTGTCGAACTGAACAAGTTTCCCTTTATGTCTAGTTGTCTCTGACTTTTTGTTTTTAAATCTGAAATGCCAGTTGTGTTTGGTTGGGTTTTTCCCCCCATTATGCATTTATAGGCATGGTCCTGGTTCCTGTGTTCATCACTACATGGGGGATTGCATGCTTGACGTTAGCATGTTAAAAACACCCGTGTGGTCCTGGGACTGCAGTGTACCTGTTGCATTCTCTGCCTTATGTGTTTTCGGCTTTGATTTGCCGACATTTTCTCTACAATTTGTCCCAGCTGTGTTAAGATCTTAATCTGTGGCATTTTTTATTCCATCTCCCCATGCTATGGAGTGTGATCTCAAGGCTTAGTTTGTAAATGCCGCCTCTTGTTCATCTGTCTTGAAGCTTGTGTAAAATCGGTGCCTCTTTCTTCTGAATATGTGGTTGGATGGGAAATCTTTGAATTCAGAAAGGGAAGTTAAGTTACATTTCTCAAATAACTTCAGTGATTTGTGTTTCTTTTAGGGAATTTGTCAACTTACTCCAGGTTTTAACAATTACTGAGTAAGGTTGTTATCATACTCCCACACCCTTCCCCAGTGGGTACCTCTGCAGCCCCCATCGCTTGTATTCCTGATTTGGGTAATTTGTATATCCTTTCTCTCTCTCTACCTCCATCCCCCTTTCCTTCCCCTCTCCCTCTTCTGTCTCTTTCCCATCTTTCCCGTAGCCCTCCATCCACCTAATCATTCTGGTTGATCACTTTTGTTGATCTTCTTAAAAGGCCCGCTTTTAATTTTATTGATCTCTTAATTTCATTGATTTTCTTCTAGACTTAACTATTGTGTTTCTTCTTATTTTGGGTTGAATTTATCTCTTTTTGATGCAATTGAGTTGAATTTGGATTGAATTTATCTCTTTTAAGAT